TTCTGTTTTTTTTGAAATAATACAATACCACTACAGGACAAATATATAATATATATATATATATATATATATATATATATATATATATATATATATATAGTATTTTAAAACTAAAAACTGAAGTCTGTTAATCGATCAGCGTGTGTGTTCGTGTATATCTTGTAGCACGTAGCGTACGATATAATTTAGTAACAATTTGATTAATTTATCCTTTGGTCTGTGTATGCGCCCTCCGACCAAACAACATAACCTTATCCCATAAATATCAGTATTTATCGCTTACTGTTCATAAAGCTTTGTTATGCAACATCATGGTAGTACGATGAAAGTGCGATCAGTTCTGTTTGGCTGCATTTCAACATTAAAAGAAGGAGCTTCCCTCCCTGACAGGTTGCAAGAGCTGTTTGGTCCCTCTTCACTTGGATCCGCCTATGAACACGCCCTTTTCCCTGTAATAAATATCGGTGAGTCCAGGCTGTCTAATCGTTTTAACAATTTTAATGCCGACTTCAGACTAGCTGACCTGCCTCCTCTTTCCTCTCCTTTTTTCTTATCCCATTTTAATCGCCTTCAACATGCCAGGAGACCACAACACACACAGGGGCTGGTTTCCTGCTACTTTTTCCTGCTCCTGTCACCTGCACATCGAATCAAGGTGCTCTTTTTCCACTATTCCGTTTGAAGACCATGGACACAGAAATTGATCAGCAAGATGAGACCTCATTCAGCAACACAGAGACGAATGGTATAAACTGTCACTCATTTATGTTGTGCCCTTTAAAGATATTCATATTTTTTGTCTTTGTGTTGTACATGCACATGGTAGCAGTGATGTATTGTATTCCACTAAAACTAAATGTTCTTTTTTTTGTATATTTGAGGCCTGCATGTTTTCTGTTAATTAAAAATGATTAGTTTCTATAACCATATTTCTTTTCTTACATTTTCAGTACATGAAAAATTTGACATTTATGAAGTTATTTATTGCAACATTTTCATGAAAGACATCCACAGTGTTGTCAGTGTGTCTATTTTTATTTTATCTTCTTATTCCAGGTAAACGCCCTGCTGAGGATGCAGATGAGCAGAAATCATTCAAACGCTCCAGAAACTGTGATGAGATGGTAGAGCTCCGCATTCTCCTGCAGAGCAAAGTAATTCAGCCCCGTTTTGTTTCATAATCTAGTCTAAGTGTATATTCTGCTCTTATTTTAACATTTTATTTTATTTTTTTACTGGTATGATTTCTGATTATTTGATCACACTTAATCGTCTTTACTTTTTTTTATTTCTAAACATCTTACGATTATAATGATTAACTTTTTTATTGTATTGCAGAATGCAGGAGCTGTGATTGGGAAGGGTGGAAAAAACATCAAAGCCCTCCGTTCAGATGTGAGTACATCAAAGTTTTCTTATCACAGCCAGAAATTCAAAAAGAACATTTTTGTGTTCACTGGCCTCTCAGACTCAGCCTTCTCTGTTTGGACAGGACCAGGTTTTGCCTCAATCCTTTTTAAGTGTTAAAAATTATTGCAGTATTTTCAATTATTTCCTTCATTGTAAACATAACAAACACCGGGGCCAGCCAATTTATTCTTTTAGACCTTCAGACAAATTTCTGGAGTTAATTTCATCCTGTTCTGGTAGCTAAAACAACATATGTTTTTGCATCCATCTAAACTGGACCATGGCATAAAAGCCCAATTTATATTTTATAATGTTAAAATATTTAATCCAGCTGGCAGTATTAATGCTCTCGTTAATTCAGAATGAAACTGGCACAGTGCTGATTTCTGAATGTCACAAGCTAACATTATGTATTCGTATACATATATATTTTAATGTTGCTGAAAACTGGCCAATTATTGAATAATTCTATGTCATTGCCTCTTTCTCTGGTCATTTACAGTTTGTTCTCCCCCTCTTTTCTCACTGTCTCTGGTTTTATTCCCCCAACATTAAATTTTCGTGTTCTTTAATATGCCATTTCCCTTTTTTCCAATGTCAGTTTCTCCTCTTCTCTCTTTGACGACCCAATCTCTGAGAGAATCAATTTAAAATCACATTTCAACACTGCAGAGCCTGTATATTAAAAATGTATTCCTCTCCCCTCTTCCTTGTTTATTATTTTTACTCTTTACTTTTTTTGCCCACTTCCTCCTCCTCCTCTGTTGCCCATGTTCTGGATGGCCCCTCCTGCGCCCGCCCATCTGACACCCTGGTTGGCCCCGCCCATAATCGTGCCCTGTCCCTAAATGGGCGTGTTACTTGATTGACATCTGTGCCCGAATGGCCCTGGCCCCTGCCCATGCCACGCCCAGTACAATGCCAGTGTGTCAGTCCCAGACAGCAGTGGGCCTGAGCGGTATGTCCCTAAGCTCCTCCCTCTCAATGCCTGACTACAGGTCAAACAAACAAGAAGAAGTGAACAATAATTTGTAGTCCTACCTTTTGTCAAGTCACTATGTTTAAACATATTTAAAGTTTATCAGACTGAGCCTAAGTGCGATTTTTTTTATCCTAATTTGCCTGTTAAACATCATGTTAATATCCTTTCTATGCCATTTTTAAAGTCATGTCAGGACTGTAACTAAAGTTGGTGCTGTCAGGATTATTCCACTGTCTTTGAAAATGTCTGCTATACTTTGTGTATATTTTTTTTTTCTTTTTAGGGTTTGTAGGTTTCTCTTATTTGTGGCCATCTGTCCTGTAAATCTTCTTCATTTTCCCTTTCTAAAAGCTCAGTGTTTGTGTATAAATAATGGTGTTTTTGGTTTTCTGTTAGTTATATGAGCTCACTTGCTTTTAGTCTCATCCCATTTTATTTTCTTTTTGAAGTCCAAATATCAAAATTTAGATTTTTTTATTTTATTTTTTTTATTTTTATTTTTATTATTCTTAAATAGTGATTGTGTTTGTTTCCTTGTCTGTCTTTCATGTAAGCAAATCCTTAATTGCTGGAGTTTTTGAAACTAAAGGTTTTGATTTAGTCCTATCCATCCATGCTTCATTTGAGTTCATAAAATTCAATTTCCCTGACCCGGTTATAAGCATTAACTCCAGTGACTGCAAATTTACAACCTTACAATAGCATAATCTTCTGTCACTTTCGCTCATCTGCAGACTATGTTGCTTCCATGTGTAATCTGCTTTAGTTCTCCTTATCAGTATAACTCCTGTATTGCCACAGGTGGGTGCAGACAACAATATTCCAGCCACTAGACTTAATTAAAATTAAACTTAAAATCCACTATGGTAAAAACAAAACATCTTTGTCATCTTGGCTTTTGTGTCCGTCACCTCATTTAGAGGGTCGTTTTTTTTTTTTTTTTGGTGTGCATCCACCAACCTATACCATAAACCTTTTAGAATTTTCTCTGGCACTTTTATCTCTTCCTAAAACTTCACTTTCCCCATCTTGCTTCCTCAGTGGTTGCCAAATCCAGTCCTCCTTTCTTTTGGGTCCTTTTTTTATTTTGCCACTGTACTGCTTTTCTCTGGGAAAGGATGCCTTTGTATAGTACTATATTCCTCACCTTCCCTATAAAATGACCACCAACTTATTGTGTAAAATGTTAGAAAACGCAGGACCTTATCATTGAGATAGCTCTTTATTCTCCACTTCTAGCAGTGTTAGCTTTTTTTTATGAGTTAAACCAGAGATCTAATGAACTTTATAATCTGAAACTTTGTTTTCTCCTCCCTTGGGATGCCTCCGGGGTACCCCAACCCCACACCGACTCTGTTGCCGTGCTCTGTTTTGTCATTGGTGGATAAACTATGAAGAATCCTGAGTATCAGTGCAGACATAGAGACTATTGGAGAAATCCTACTGAAGATTATCCCTACATTGGAAGAAGTGAGTTGTTTTGACTTTGATTTTTATGAATCTTTAGTAACACTTTAAAACATTTCAAAGAAGTTGTATAGAGAGCACTGATTGATTCCCTTGCTGCCATTTGTTTATTTGTAGATGATGTAGTTCTGCAATTCTGTTCTGACAATGTGTCAACTTGACTAGTTTGCTTTTGGTTTAAAGCCATGTATTAGTCATGGGTCTTTGAGGTTCTCACAATGAGATGACCATGACCAAAAATGTAATGGTTTAATTGTATTTATGCAAAGAAATTAAACAAATTTTACGATATTAGGAAAACATGCAATATACAGTAAAGGTATAATATGCAAAAAACAAAAGTTATAACAAATATGTTAAAAAATAATCACAAATGATTGGTGATTTTTTTTTTAAGTTTCCATTGATTGTGTTATTTTTTTGGCCAGAATTATTTCCAAACAGGAGAATGTAGGAGACGAAGTGGAAATGTAAAGACAAAACATTTCAGCAAAACTGTATTGATTTTTGCCAGACTGAAGGAAAATGGTTCAGGCATTCCTTCATCTTGTTTATGAAGGAATGCGTGAAAACTGTCGTCAGCATATGGCTTTTATTTTGTTTTTACAGTACCAGCAATACAATGGCAATGACTTTGATTGTGAGCTTCGTCTGCTGATCCATCAGAGCCTGGCGGGCTCCATCATCGGTGTGAAAGGAGCAAAGATCAAGGAGCTTCGGGAGGTATGTGAATATACAAAATGTAATACTTTATTTAGCCTTTTTTTTAAGACATTGACATTCTGACATGATGTCCTCTGCATGCTGTCCATTGAAAATGTACCTTGTGAAATTTCCTTTTTTTTTTTTTAATCAGTCTTAATACTTTCTGATTTCCTTTTTAAGCGCCTTTGTTTTGTTGGAGCGTTTTTTTTTTCTCTTCCTACTCATGTGTGTCTTTCATGCGTGTCTCTGCAGAACACAAAGACCAGCATCAAGCTGTTTCAGGAGTGTTGTCCCCAGTCAACGGACCGTGTGGTGCTGGTTGGTGGTAAAATGGAGAGGGTGGTGGAGTGCATCAAGACCATGCTGGAGCTCATCTCTGAAGTAAGGGTGATTTCCACTATTAATGAGTGAATTTTATGCTTTTTCAGGCTTTACACATTAAGATTTGATTCTGTTTCAAAGCCCTTTATTGAGTGTGTTGTTGCGTATGATATAGTAATGATTTAAAGATATCCACTTAAATGTCTTACTTGATGGTGTGATTTAGATTTTCTTCAGTCATATGAATATTTATTTTTAGAAAGGTTTCCTTGCATATAAAACGGATGTACTACTGTATAAAAGTGTCTTGCGTGTTTCTTTTTGTTTAAAATGTGATCATCTCCGCTTTAGGCTCCAATAAAAGGCCGTACGCAGCCCTACGACCCCAACTTCTATGATGAGACATACGAGTACGGTGGTTTCACCATGATGTTCGAGGAGAGGGGAGGCGGCCGCAGGCTTATGGGAGGCTTCCCCATGCGCGGAGGCAGGTCCAGTGGCGACCGCGGGTATGACAGAATGCCTTCCAGCCGAGGGGCGCGTGGACCCCTGCCTCCCTCACGCCGCGATTACGATGATATCAGCCCCCGCCGGGGTCCTCCTCCACCCCACCCCAGTAGGGTTGGCAGGGGAAGCGGGCGTCCGCGAAGCATGCCAATGGGTCACCCATACAGGGGAGGGTAAGCTCAGTGCTGCTTTCTGAATCTGAATTTTGGAGTAGCAAGCAGCCTGCATGCACCTTCTCGTCGGTTTTATGTAAAGTTTTTTGAGTTTTACTTTCGTAATATCTCACTTGTAGCTTTTTTTTTTTTTTTGCTCCCTGATCTGTCTGAAAATGTTAAGCTTTTTTTTTGCTTTCTCTCCATTCAGATAAATTCTAATTTCTACCAAAACAATTCTGTTTATTATTTAATATGTGAGCTAATGTTGCTTTTTTTAGTGGAAAAACTATTGTTCGTATTTATCGTTTCATTAAGCATAAGTGCTCATCACTGTCTGTCTGGTTGTGTTTGTCCTTTTTTTCCTTTTCCCCATTTCTATGTTTCAGCAGAGACGATCGTTACTATGACTCATACCGTGGCTCAGATGACAGGTCAAAGTAAGTCTTTGTTTCCAAATCTCTCTTGGAATTAAGATTCTTGTTTCAATTTATGTTGCAAAATAAGTCATACCTGTGGCATTGTTTATCTGTGCTGTTGCTTACTATTGAGTGGCATGCTCTTTCTTTAATACTAAGAATACGTTTCCAGTTCCTAAAAGTGTTTATTATATTTTGTAATCTGAATTTTTGATTGCATGGGTGGTTTATTTGCAGTGCTGAGTCTCGTTGTCTGACAACCTGGACTGCACAATAGGTTACCATCATATTTCACTTTATCCAAATTCCAAATAACTACTTGGACTTAAAGTATCATCTGGCCAAGTGCTCGGTCAGCAATATATTTACCGATGTTTGTTTAATGCAGCAGAGAGTGTTTTATGAGAGCTTTAAGGTGTTCTGGTAAAGTCAGAAAAAAAAACCTGCAGCTAAGTTGTTTCTTTGCCAAAATGACAAATTTAACCAGATTCAGCTTTTTCAACAAACGTTGCTGAACTAAAAAAATTTTTATTGAACTCTTATTTTACAAGGATAAAAACTAATTGAAATTAAAAATATCTTTTTCAAGGGAGTCCAAATAAAACACGGAAAAGTACACAGTTAAAGAAGAAAAGAGAAGAAATACTAAATTTAATATGTTTCCGATGGTAGACTGCTTACCATCAGCAGCCTGTGTTTTCAATAAACTTGGGGTAGAGAGATGGAAACATTGTTTATATAAGAAACTGGTATTTTCATTTTGCACTCTAATAGTGTCATAAATCTATTGGTCGATTCTTGTAAATGCTTTAGAATCTCTGCTGCTCAAATATTCTCTCTAACATTTTTCGAAGATTTTGGTTTTCTATTGTCGTCAAATATATTGATTTGTATTATCAAGCTGTGCAAAACGGCAATCAAAAATAACTTCTTTGCACAAATATTTACGCAGTTTATATTTCATGTAACTTGCATTTTAACTCTCCATATTTGTCCAGTGGGATGGCCCCGTACACCAAAGTACCGATGTCCAAAGTAGATGTAGATCACAGTGAAGGTGGGGGCGAAACTGTAAAGACAAAAAAGTAAAGGAAAGAACAATCTCCACCAAACCAAGTCCTTGCAGTAATAAGTAATACAGCGGCATGTTTTTCCAATATTGTGCAGCTTCAGTTGTCAGGCGTGGTTTGCAACAACGAATTGTGTTGCAGGACTAGGGAAAAAATGTCAACGTAAACAGTTACTGATGCTAAAATCCTCTCGCATTTAAGGTTTACTCAAAGTTGGCACACACGCATGTGTTTCTGTGGAGTACAAAAGTACAATCCTAATACATTTTGTCGGCTATTTTCACTATTTGTGCTCAGCTTTTAGGAGGGAAATAACAGCAGCCTTTGGCTCTGATCAGCATCACCACCACCTGTCACTCCTCTCACCATAACACTGTCAGAGCTGTTCCTGTTACTGTGTGGGAAGATGGTTGGGAGGAAATGTGTTTATACTGTAATCTTGCTCAGCGTGTGTGTGCAGTTTGACCTAGACCAGAAATTTTTCATGGAATGTTTTCAAGATTTTTTTTTTTTTCTCCTCCAAGTATTTTCTATTTCTTTCCCGTCCAACTCACATTTCTTTTTTCTTTTCCCCCCCGTTTCTCTGCCTGTCTCTTCTCCTCCCCATCGCCAGTGACAGAAGAGGCAGACCGGATCGCTACAGTGATAACATGGTTAGTGACCCTTTGCTAAACACGTGCAGCTCTGGTGTTCGCATCCTATTAAGTGTGAGCATCCTCAGGCTAGCACAAGACAATATGTTGTGATTGTCCATTGTCCAGCTATTATATAGTATTTTTGTGACAAAACAACGGAGCAATGTCCATAGATCCAAGGCACTTTTTGCATGGTGTAAGCCACCCCACCAAATGACCGTAATCACCTCAGCCGGAGACACCCCATAATAATCAGCTGTAATTGCCCTCTTACTGTGTATTTTTCATGGCCAGCTTGTTTTTCCTGCAAAGAGAGAGAGAGAGAGGATGTTGGGAGTGGAGAGGGTGGGGAGGTGGGGGTGGCCATGGTTCGTTGCTAAGCACTAATAATGCTTTCTTGACAGACTGGAAGGTTTCTTTTTGCCTTTTTCTCTCTTTCCTCTCTCTCTCTCCCTCCCTGAGACCTGGCAGGATACTGCCTACCGTTGCTCGGCAACAGCTTTTTGAATTGCTTGTTGCCCTGGTAACAGCAGCAGCTGAAAATGGGGGCTGATAGAGATGCAAGGAGAGAGAGGAAAAGGGGTAGGGATGGGGAGGGGGGCAAGGAGGTGGAGTCTGTCTCATGGATGAAAACTGGGTGGCTTTCAATTGGGTCTACTCTGAACGAGGCTGCCTCGTTGGGTTTCTGCTCACCAACCTGTAGCGATTTTTTTTTTATCTGCTCTGTAATCGAGGGAGAGGGATGTATCGTTTTCGTCGCTGTAACACTTCTGTCTTTTTGTTTGTTCCTTGCAGAGTGGCGGTGGATATGGTAAGTACAAAGCTCTTTCGCTCGCATTGTGTAAATGTTGTTACAAGGCTGCTGCATCCATCAGACTGCAGGCCTCAGATTTCTCCCCAGCATAAGGAAGCAAGAAGACAAAATGATAGAAATTGATGGGGAATCGGACTGAAAGGAAATGGCAGCTGTAATTTTTGTAAAGCTGTATTATTATTATTATTTTTTCTTTTTTTTTTTTTTTTTTTTACACTGACATTTTTTTTCCTATTCACATAAAATTGATGATGTGGTGTATTTGTAGTGTTTAAAGTACATTTTGAATTATGTGGCAAATTAGTGGTTTATATATATATATATATAATATATACAATCTTAGATATTTTTCCTGTCTTTCTCAGATAACAGCTCCTCCTGGGATAGCTACCAGTCAGGTTAGTATTCCTCCTTCGCCCTCAATCAGTTCCAGTCTGTGACATCTACAGAGTTTCAGTGTATTTATATTTTATTCACTCTATTCATTCTCCAAGCACTCTACAAAACAACAGTTCTAACCTCATGGATGTCACTAAAAATCTGGCCGAAGGCTGGAATGTTGTAGTAGTGTGTGGGAGAAAAAAAATATTGCTCTGGTTTTGTCATCTTGGTAGTTTTTTCAGTCACCTACTTCTACTACTTTATTTCTTCCACCCATCTATGTGACTCATTTGTTGGTGTAGCGGCATTCATGTAACTAACACACCATGATGCTGTATTACTACAACTTGGCAGCTTTGCAGTCACAACAAGCTTTTCTTTGCCTTTTTGACGAGGCCAAATTGTCGTTTGATCTGTTTTTTCAGTACTCAGCAGTTTTGGTAAAAAGACACGAGTGTTTGTCTTGAATCCTTTTATTTTCTAACAGTCTCCGTATTTTGCGTGCCTTCAGGTGGACGTGGATCCTATAACGACATGGGCGGTCCTGTCATCACCACACAAGTGACAATCCCTAAAGACGTGAGTTTATGACCGTGACATCAACAGCTTGGCAACCAGAGACAGATCAGCTGGAGCTGAAGACTCAGATTGTATAAATCTAGTTGCACTGTTTTTTTTTTGTTTTTTTTTGTATTGAAGTTTTCCTTTTTCCTTTGCTACATTTTATCTGCTTCTGCTCAGCTAATCTGAGTTTTTGTTATGTCAAATTTATTTAATGTTTACCATGTTTAATTCTAAATAGAAAATAATTTTATATTTAAATTAAGATTCACCTAACAGTGGGTCAAAATTGGCCAATTCCACAGTTTTGATTACCTGGTTAAATTCAGAAAAAAAAAAAAAAATCATTTAATTTTTTTAAATCAAATAAACTTGTCTCATCTAAACCTGGAGCAAACTTTCATTTTTACTTGTTTCTAGTAGTTCAGTAAAATTCTGATTAAGGACGTGTGATTTGATGTATAAATGCACATTTGTTCCTTGGATTCAAAACTTTTGCCTCTACTAAAGGAACTGCAGCACATTTTCTTTCAGTCAGTAAAGTAATGTCATTTGGAAGGTCAGATCCACCCTAACCCCCAACTTTTTCCTGTTGTGTTCTCCACCAACAGCTGGCTGGATCCATCATCGGTAAGGGAGGCCAGAGGATCAAACAGATTCGCCACGAGTCGGGGGCCTCCATCAAGATAGACGAGCCTTTGGAGGGTTCAGAGGATCGCATCATTACCATCACTGGTACCCAGGACCAGATCCAGAATGCCCAGTACCTTCTACAGAACAGGCAAGTTCTTGCTTGGTGCTTTTATTCCATCCTAGCTAGTAGAAATGCCTTATTCAGAATCCTGTTTGAAATGTCACCATTTTCTTCAAATTGTATCTTCTAAAGTCTTAAAATTGTATTCTTAAATTCCAAACGGGTGAAAAATTTCATGCAGTTGTACTCGAGTCGAGCAGGCCTCCAACATACTAAAGCTTTTCAGCTTTGTTTTCCTGCGCAAATATGATTAAAATAACTCGATTGTTCAATTTGTTTAATCAGACATATGGTTCACCGATTATTTATTTTAACAAAATTACATTCCAACACTAGACAGCCAGTTTTTCTTGGATTATACGTTTCTGTTGCCTGCTGTCTCTCTTCACTAACCCCCTTCCTTTCTTCCCCATGCAACCTGCAACTACTTCTAACCTTCCTCTTACATGAAATGGCTATGAAGGAGCATGCATGCTTAAAGGTGCATATTATTAGCTATTTTTATAAAGGGGCAGTGTGGGTGACAATTGTGATTGACTCGCACTCGTCCGTTAAATCTGATCAGTAGACGGAAAAGACAAATAGGATGTCTATTTGCCATCAGAGCCGTTTCAATGTGAAGCAGGGAGTGGATTGATTCTTCCCTGGCTGCTGCTGTGTGGAAGACTAGTGATTTTGTTGTTTTTAGTTAGATTAAGTGACAACAAATCACAGTCTGCCAAATAGCACAGGCTCCTCCTCTTCTGTCTCCCTTGGCAACCAGTAGGCACGTATAATACACACCATTTCCTTATTGATGCCATCTGAGCTTTGCCCGATTGCTAATACATTCTCAAACCCTCTGCCCTGTCTCATGAGTAGTGTACTGTTGCCATGATAACAGGCCCTGCCTCCCTCTTCCTTCCTGTCTTCCCTTTTCTGTGTTCTGCACCTGCTAGCCACAAACCTCTTTTCCTCCTTTCGTCTTCCTAAATCATGTCTTCTCTCCTGCCTCCTTTGTTCCATCCTGCAGTTCATCCTCTCACATCATTATCCTGCAACAGTTGCAGTGTTTTACTCTGTTAATTTTGTGAAATGCAAATATTTTTTTGGTATTCATTTTTCCCGCTCTGTTTTGTTTTCATTGTAGTGTGAAGCAGTACTCTGGTCATTTGCTGTAGACCTTGAGGGAGCAGATTGAAGAAAACTCGGATTGAACCCCACTTCCTCTTCTCAAATCTTTTTGCCCTGGTCCAACACATCCCCCCCTTCAGACTTTTACTCTGGATTGTGGGTGTCTTTTTTTTATTATTTTATTTTTGTATTTTTAATTAAATGTCCGACATTCCTGTGTATCCATAAAAATGTAGAAGATCTGCATTTTTAAGAGTGTAGTCCAATAGTTTGTCTGATTTTTGCTTTGATTTTTCTTTTGTAACTCGTATATCAGAATATCTCAAGATTTCCCTCAGACATAAAAAAAAATAAACCTAACCTTTATTTTTTGGATGGATTTGATTTGTTTTTATGCATAAATGTGGATGATTGTGTCCGAGTGGGTGTGTGCACATGTGGGTGTGTGGCTTGGTATGCTTTCAGTTGTCTCCTACAAATTTGTGTAACATACAGAATGTAAGATGTTCCTTCTGTTCTTCTTTAACAGCTCTGGGGAAATTGAAATCTGTAGAATTGATTTTGAATTTTTGTTGGGAGTTGTGTACAAACAGAACATAATTTCTACCAACACTCTAGCGGTGCAACAAAATAAACCTGGAGTATTGACGTAACTCCCAAAGTAAGCATTTGTGTTGGTAGAGATGAGGCATTTTATTGGTTATTGGACACATATACTAAACTTTTCTACTTTGTCTGCAAGTTCCTCTCTGAACTTGCTTGCTCTTCATTGTTGTGAACTTCACAATGTCAAATTTAAAAATAAAAATGCCACTTTTTACTGAATTTTTTTGGGGTGTTTTAATAGCGTTCTGATTTTCACCTTTACTTAGGCAGCTAGATTGACTTCCTGTTTGAAGTTAATTAAAATCTGTCAAAGAACTTCAGCAGTTTAGCAGTTAAACGAGCCAGTCCTTTTAGAAGAGAAAAAAAAACACATGAACGTCAGATATATATATATATATATTTTTTTTTTTTTTTTTTTTTTGTAGCTCCATTTGTTTACTTGTAAAAGGCTTTTTGAGGATATGTTTGCAGAAAAGCGAAGACATCTCGGCGTCGGCGGAAAACTGTTTCTGCGCAGGCTCATAAGATTTCCCGCCTTACCGTTCTGATTGGTTGATCGGAGTGAATCTTAAAGAGTGATTGGTCAGCAGACAGAAACCCGGTAGTACAAAGAAGTTCATCTTTTTTTATCCTTGCAGGAGCTACGCTGCTATACTTTGCTTAGAAACGAGCTACAGTTGAACAGTAAGTTTGGAAAGAAAGTAATTTGTGTTTATAGTTTGAAATGCTACGGACAGATCATACGGTAGCAAAAGTCAAAGCTGACATGAATGCTCGATCTGTAGGTGCACTCTGCCCTTCCTGGTGTTTATCGCAGAATTACACAATATAGACACGTTTTCATCTCTTCATGCAAAAAATTAAGAAATTAATTATAATTACTAACCAAATTGAAAACGGCTTGTTGCAAAAGTATTCATGTCAATCTTTTAAACAATTTGTTTCGTTCTCATAAAATAAGTTGAAAAGTGTGGCACAATAAGAGTCAATTGGCGTCTTTAATTTACAGGAATTGGAATAAAAACTAGTACAGCAATCTGTCTTCAAAAGAACACAAACTGGTAAATAAAATTAACCTCGTGTGTAACTTAATTTTTAAACCTTAAAGTATATAAATATATACTTTATATAAATACAAAAAAAATGTGCATCATTGTGCAAATGCAGTAATAATGATGAGCAGTACACCGATAATAATTATTCTACAGGGTGAAGGCATGTGGCAGGAAAGATTTCCTGTATCTGTCAAACAGCAAAGCTCTTGCAGTCTGTCCAGTGTGCAGTGGATGTCCAGGTCCAAGTTGTCCATGATGGATGACAGTTTCTTCAGTGTCTCTGACTCGGCTGCTGCTATGAAAAATGTAATGCAGGAAGCAACTGACCGATAGATCCCCAATATCAATAAGGAAATCTTTATCAACTTGCTTTAGGTGTCAAATAAGGCATGTTCCTTCTCCCGAAGTCTATCACTAGCCTTGCTAATGCTCACCCTCAGGTGATTCAATCCTTTGACGAGACTTGGAAATTTATGTTCAGACGTTATCTATTTAGTTTAACTTAACTTGAGCTATTTCACCAAGAAGAAAGGTCAACAGAAACGATCTCAAGATGTGCATTGCGTTGCCTCTGGAGGATTGAATACAATTCACGAGAGACCAACTAATCAATCAGTCAGCTTTATTTGTTCCATTAGGTAGATTCAGTCAAGTGAGTCAGCATTCTTGCCACACAGGGAACTTTACATTGACGCACAATAAATATGGATATAACATGATTCAAAACGGCCCATTGACCAATACTTTAAAATAAGAAAAAACAAAAAGATTTATATCTAGAAAAATCCCAATGCCTATGCCTGATACACCTGGCCAGTAATATATATAATATGATCAACACATCTTTGTTTACATTTACTTATTAAAATTGCTTTCAAGTGGCACTTGCTTAAAAGGTTATTGAATGTTTTGGTATGAAAAAGGGCTTTTATGCTGGGAATAAAATCCTTCTCAAATTGAAGCTGCACCTAAAGTCATTTTACCATATATAGGCCAACAATTCCAAACCTTTAAGAAGCAGAACATACTTTATCATCTTTAAGTTTAGCTGCTGAGAATTCAAAGCTTTTCATTGAATATCAGACGTGGTTTTTTTTTCTGTTTTATTTCTGCACCAGTTATCATGGAGAAGCCTCTCCTTCCCAGAGAGTCTGGGCAGTTTGTGGCTGAGCGAAGCAAAGACGTGTTTATCAGGGACGCAGGAGTCCAGAAGGTAGCAGAGATGCTCTTCAGTCTCAGACGCAGTGAGTTCCTGACTGCTAGTGGCTGGAAGGTGGCCAATCCCCTGGCTCCGGCACCCACCTCTGATCAGGGGAGTTTCTCAGCATCGCAGGGCTGAATTATTTTTACCCCAGTGCAAATGCAACAAATGACTTGACTGGACAGTTAAGTTTAAAGGAAGGCAATTAAAGAGTTAATACATTTTTTGATTTTGGAGAAAGCCGATACGGGTTAAATGTTGAATAAAATAAATATGATTACACTAATTGCAGTTGAAGGTTTGGAGCTCGAAAATGAAAAAAATATAGAAATGTTCAAACAGCACAAGATACTGTTTTGAAGAAGAGGCTACATTTGTTCTGAGATTTAAGTTGTGCTCTTATTCACAAAATAAGATATTTTTCTAATTTGAGTTCTAAGAAGAAAATGGTATCAAAATAAAAAATGTTATGATTATTTGGTTCTTCAAGCCTTATATAGATTATTGCTTATGTACAGTTGCTGTTGATAAAGTGTAGCTTTTAGACACTTGTAAGAAAGACATTTGACTTCAATAATGTGGGTTCTCTTGAAATCAGTCATCATGAAACACCATTATCACTTAGAATATTGGTTAACAGTAAATAAACATTATTAGATTTAGACTTTTGTTTGTTTCATTTAATGTAACAAATGACACATTTGAAATCTGGAACAAATATAAAGTGTTTTTACTGTGTTCCTTAGCGATTCTTAAAACTAAGCAGTTTTTTTTTTAAATCATTTTTCAATGCCTTTTATGTAGAATTCTGTAAACAAACTTACAGACAGCAAAAACCTGATAACTTTTATGTTGTGTTTTTGCTTATGGTGTTTTATAAACCCTACAGGCGTTAAACTGGCTGTTCGTTGTGGATACCATGAACTTCTGCTTTTGGCCCGACAACGAAGCTCAGCAGTGTGAGGTGACCTATAAAGGCGCCACTTACACAGGCTTCATGACTCTGTGTGCTGCCATCACCAGAGCTATGGAGGAAGGTGAGGCCACTTAAATACATCATGCACCACATCATACTTTCAGTATTTACAGTTTTGATCAGAAAGAAAGAGAGCATCTTTTCCTTTCTAAGTTGACAGAGAGTTGTGATTTAATGCAGAATGAGGATAATTAATGGGGATTTTTCTTTTTTTTTCCACTCTACACTGCTGATTTTTTTTTTCTCTCTCTGCTTTTGCAAACTTTGGGAGGTTTAGTTGGAATTTTTCTCCCTTCATTTGCAACCACCTTCAGAGTTTAACTTCTGGCAAATTCTGGCTCTTCCTATTATGCAAACATCGATACAGGAAGATGGACAGAAAAACACAACATGTACACATAAATAGAGACACAACTGCATTAAAACATGCACACATAGTAAGCAAGCACCAGCTAAAACATTTGGTATGAAAGTCTTTGTTCACTATTTGTTTGATAAATCACAATTACAAAAATTGCGTGAGCTACTTCTATGAATTTGTCTTTTATTTTGTATTTCTCCACCTGTCATCTCTATCGATGTGAAGGCCTGAAATCGGATGCTATCTTTTGCCATGTAGTTTAATACATTTATTAGGTCTAATATGCCACTGATGGAGAGTAAATCTGCCCTACCACTGTCAAGGAGCCAGACCCACCAAACGTGTGATTAAAAATGTCTAAACAGTGAGCCACTGACAGAAAATGCTGTAACTAACTGTGTCATAATCCATGACAATGTGGCCTTTTCCATTATGTGTTTCTTTTTTGGTTCCTTATTCTCAAGAGAAAAGGAGAAAAATGTGGTTTTATTATTGTCACTTATTGTCTGTGTGCCCTTTGTGAGTTCGGAGTACGAGGAAATTGCTGGTGGCTCTGCATGAGCCTGATCATCATTTATAATTAGCAAGAACGGCTCCGGATATGAATCAGTTATGTCTCGTATGGAATACCGCTCTCAATGTGTTGTCGCTGTGCCCTTTATCTGTGTGACAGCTGCTCTCAGAGAAGCACAGGTAGTCCTGGCCAGAGCTTGCTTCTGAAAACAAGAGATCAGAACAAATCATTTTTAGTTTAGTCTTTTCTGTACTGCACATTATAAACCTGAGTTAATAATAATAATTCCCCTCTGTTCTCCTAGGTGTACCCATCACTGATCCCAAGTACTTTTCCAAGATGAGCGTGGAGGAGTTGGGAAAAGTTCTCCGATCAGACAATGAGACAGCCATGCCGATGGTTCAGGAACGCCACCAGGTTCTACTTTTATCCTCCACATTTCCAGTTCATTTTATATAAAACGGACGTTCATTTTAAGTACTTGTATGGTGCAGCAAAAAATAAATAAAAGTGGTCATTTTGTCCTCCAGCAGCATAAGCAAATAGCAGCCTAAGTACAGAGATAGCTCAGGATAATTAAAGCAAGAATAACTGTGAGCTTTATCAATCAGGAGCGTTTTAAGCTTAGTCTTAAACGTAGACAGGGTGTCTGCCTCACAGACTAGAACTGGGAGCTGGTTCCGGAGGAGAGGAGCCTGATAAGTAAAGGATCTGCCTCCCATTGTTCTTTTAGAAACATCAGTAAAGAGAGTGAAAGGCTCTGTTAGGAACATATGGAGGAATCAGATCTCTGTTGTTTGATGGAGCTTGATTCTTATTGGCTTTATATACGAGTAGGAGGAAGTTAAATTTCATTCTAGATTTAACAGGGAGCCAATGAAGTTAAGCTTAATAGAAGAAAAATATTATTTTTAAAATTTTCATCCACACTCTTGCTGCAAGGGTTTGGATCAGCTGAAGGCCTTTAACTACATTTTTTGGACTTTTAAGTAAAGAGTTTTAATAGTTCAGACTTTAAGTAACGAAAGGATCAACTCGTTTCTCAGCATCATTCTGACAGGATATTTCTAAGTCCTGGACCCTTAAATCTGGGATTTAAATGTCATGTCGTGGTCAAAAATAACTCGGAGGTTCTTTACTTTGTTTATGAAAGGCTCTGGACCAACATCGACCACTTCCGTCTTGTTTGAATTTAAAATCATAAAAAGAATGTTTTTAAAAAGTAATTTCATGTTGGAAAAATATTATTCACCTGAAAATATTTTTCATCATCATTATTTATCAAGCTTCTTTTATTACACGCACGTTACTTACTTTATAAAGAGAAGATGAAAATGTGCAGTTCATCTCCTGTTCATCCTGGCTATGTGAATTTGAATCTTCCTTCCAAGGTCCTGACCGAGGGCGGGCGCGTGCTGCTGGAGCACGGAGGAAGTTTCCGTAGTTTTATCAGCCAAGCAGGAAACGATGCTCAGAAGATGGTGGAGCTGATCGTGGAGAAGATCCCGTCTTACAGGGATGAAGCTACATATGAGGTCAGAGGGGCTAAATGAACAAAGAGATATCTGAACGTATGGAAAGACTAAAGATATTTTATAAGTATCAACTGTTGCGAGAGCATCTCCACAGGTCTTCCTTTATTCATGGCATCCTGAGGGTTAGCGGCCTTATTTTGAATACTGAACTTTTTAAATTTTTAATTATGGAGTTCATCCCAGTGTGCAAATTTACACTACATTTAGTCTGAAAATTACACCATTTTCAATATGTGATGTACATTACTGTACTCCATGTCAACACTAAGTGATTAATTACTTAATTACACTTCAAGCCTGCAAATTGTCACTTGAAACACCTCGAATAGCCTCTTTTGGAGGACTTTGAATAAATTTTAGCATGAGAGTTCCCCCTGCTGGACAAAACCAGCATCACAGCTGTGTAACCATCTGACAAAAAGTGGCAAAAGGGATTACAATAAGTGCAAAAAATGCAACAAGCTTTTTAGCATATTTGCTTTACTTTGGTAACTTTACAACATTACAAAAAATGAAGCAAAATTAAACGCTATTAACAAACCAATAATTTACCAAAAATGGAAGATAGTTGGGAAACTCATTGATAATGAATCTGCTTTTGTGTTAATCTGCTGTTTTAGGGCAGAAAAATCTCTTTCAACAAGCGAGCCCAGATCCTGGTGGCAGATTTCTGGGCAGTGATGGAGGCCAGAGGAGAAGGGTACATCACCAACATAGACTGTCTCACCATGTTTGCAGACTACAGGGTTCCTCAGGCGCTTGTCTATTTAGGAGTGTTGGAATACTCTGATGCACTGATGGAGGCACTGAAGAACGGTGAGGGACCGAGCATGTTTTCTCTGCTCTTTGTAAATATACAGAGCCTTGAAAAAGTATTCATACTATTTTCATTTTTCTACATTCTATCAATTTTAAGACAATGAGTTTAAGATTTTTTTCTGACCAGCCAGCACAAAGTTGCACATAATTGTGAATTGTAAGGAGAACTCCCTATGGTTTCCAAAAGATTTTTGAAGGTTTTTCTCAGTTTTCTTTAAAAATATCCTAAGTTCACTCAGGTTACTTGAATAGCATCTCTGAAAAATAACTTGATTTTGATGTTTTTGTTTATTTCCGGTACTGGACTACTGAAGAAAAGAGATGTTGGCGTTAGTTTTCTGCTGTACTAAGTATTTTCTACGCAAGCCAGAAAGTTCCTTTTAAGTCTCATTTGACCAGAGCACCTTCTTGCATGTGTTTGCATAGCTTCCTCTTGACAAACGCTTTCTTACGTTTCCATAATGGTTAGGTTTGAGGAGGGTACAACTAGTAGTTCTCCTGTCTACAGATTATCCCACCTGAGCTATGAATAACTGCAGCTCCTCCAGATTTACCATTACTTTGCTGCTACACACGCATCGCACTTTTCAGATTTGTATTTGTAAAAGAGTCCTTATAAAGACATCATTGTACTTTCACGTCATATCTATGCACGACATTGTGTTGATTTATTTTATTAAATTTTAATAAAATAATTTCACTTTTACAGTTATGATGTAACAATTTGAAAAAGTTCAAATCTAATCAATCAATCTAAAAATCAGCTGGTGCGGTCTGTCTCAGGTGAGCTGCTGCCTTCAGGGGATCGAAGAGAAGTCGAGATACGAGGATGTTCCATTTGGTCCGTGGAGCTGATCAAGGAAAGACTGCACAAGATGGTACAGGAGAAAGACGGGAAAGTCTGCAGCATCAATTCTGCTATCATTGACTTCTACCTTTGGCCTTTCGCTAAGCAGCACCACAGAGAGATGGCCCACATTCCCATTCACCCTACACGCTGTATTTTCTACTGACTAACAGACTGCAAGCTGAACATACAGGATGTTTCCCTGCGAATAAACCAAACATGGTAGTGATTCCATAAAACAGTTGTCAGTGTGCAGTTAATGACAATGTTTGAACATCAAGTCTGTTGTATTAAGCATCCTGTTTTAGCTAAGCAAGTGATGCTATTACATCATGCATGTTTGGAATGTCTAATTAGTATGGAGTTGAATTTGTGACCTTCAACATCCAGATGGCCAAAAATTATGTTTTTTTTTGTTTGTTTTTTTGTCTAGTCCTTTTTTCTACCGTTCAAAATCATGTAACTGTGCTTCATCTTTAACTGTCCAAAGCTGCGTGTATGTATACAGTGTTTTTTGTCTACTAAATCCAGAAAAAGAAATTACTTTACTTCTGTTTTCTCATTTCTTCTTTTTCTACCAATTAGTTTTACAACTGATTTTATGAATTTATCTATGACCTTCAAGGCACACTCCGACCTTGCACTAAAATGTATCTCATGTGTCCTTTGTTGAAACCTGAAGTCATCAGCCAAAGTTTTATGAAATTAGTAGATTCAGTTTTATATTCAATAGATGGCGCCGTTGCCCTCGCGGCAGCTGTCCAGTGCCATCTTTGAACGCCTCTTCCGGTTTTTGGCTGCTGCGTCACAGCGGCGTCGGTCGCCCGGGTAACCCAAATCGACAACAAACCTTTAGAGGTGAAGTTACTAGAAACTTAAGAGGAAACGACCACGAGAGTTAAACACGAGCTATGTTAAATTGTTTTTTTTTTTTCTTCGAGTAATAGTGAATTAGCAATTAACTATTTCGAAACCAGAGTTTTGAAGTATCTCAGAGGTTAGATGTGAGAAAAAAAAAAAAGTCAAACCCTGTGTAAGTTCATTGGTCTTTTACTGCCTCATGAGTGAGGTCTGTGTCCGGGTGGCGGTCCGTATCCGTCCCCTGCTCCGCAAAGAGCTCCTCCATCAGCACCAAGTGTGCGTCCAGGTGGTTCCCTCGGGTTCCGGGCAGGTGAGGCTCGGCTCGGACCGCCTCTTCTCTTTCGACCACGCGTTCGGACCGACAGCCAGCCAGGATGAAGTGTACGAGTCTTGCGTCCAGCCCCTGGTGGAGTCTCTGCTGGACGGATACAACGCTACCGTGTTTTGTTACGGACAGACTGGGTCTGGCAAGACGTACACACTGGGCGGAGGGAGCAAAGGCAAGTTATTAAAAAAAGTCGATTTATTTCAAATGAAAGAGAAATTTAGTATGAATGTATTACACATAGTGCGTATTCACTGCTGTTTATTTGAATGATAATGTCCTTACAGCTAATGAAAACACAACAAATACTTTCTCAAATACACTATTAAATAAGATAATCTGATACAGAAATTCGACACAGTAATCATGGAGGAGACTGCATACTTGACACATGTCCAGCAAATAGTCACTGGTAAGCCACAAAAAACACACTGCAAAAGAAGATTCCTATTTACCAGAGTTTTGTGTCCAAGCATATTAATGAAAAAATTTCGCTGAAGAAAAAAGTGTGATAAAGAGAGGTGCTTATGCAACAGAAGTGCCTTTTAGAGGATTGTGAAAGAAAACCCATTCAAGAATTCAGGAGGTTTTCATGGCATGACTAAATGGAGAGGCACAGATCCCATATTGCTTAAGGTCGTTTTGTGAGACATGTTATGCTTCTGTTGGTCTGCTGTGTTTTATCAAGTCCAAAGTGCAGTTAGCATATGCTGGAGCCCTCTTTGCATCCCTCTGCTGACAAGCATATATGGGCATACATATTTCATTTACTAGCAGAAAAAATACTAACTAATGGTTTAATCCCCATGGTATCTCTGTGCTTGATTGACCAGTAAACTAGACCTGCTTTAGGTTTTGCAGAGGCACTGACTGCTTCCGTGCAACACCGCGTTGAAACAATAATTCCTCTAAAAGGAGCATAGAGAAACTCGGTTTTTAGTAGCTCTAAGCAATTAACAAGCTTAAGAGTATCAGTTATGAGTAAAAACTTGAAATATATCCGTGTGTGGAATGATAAAAGAAAATTTTGACTGGAATAAAATTAACTTTTTGATTATTTTTAATGAATAGGATATGGCCTGTTTAGTTTTTTATATATATAATTAACACTTTAACAAAAAAAATAAAACCAAAAACTGTATCATATTTCTGATTCTTTCAGACAAAATATTCAAATTAAATCTTTGTCTATATTTTGAAACCTTCTTGCAGATGAAGGAGGAATTATTGACTGTGTAGCTGAGGATGTGTTTTTGTTGCTGGCAAAGCGGAAGAATGACGATAGCATTGAGGCAACGGTGCAGATTTCATACATGGAGCTGTACAGAGAGGAACTGCGGGACCTGTTGGACATGAACACCAATCATAAAGAGCTTCTCATCAGAGATGATGAAAAGGGGAACACAGGTAAAAAAAATTGTGACCTATAAATATGGCAAAAGAAAAAATATAGAATACATTCATGGAAAGAAGAGATGACAGACTCGTTTGGTTCAAAGATTTTGTGTGTATTGACATGAATTAATCTGACTTTTACCTGGTTGTAAATTTGATTAAATTCAACAGCCAGTAAATGAAAACAAAAGATTTACATACTGTGATTTTAAAAACAGAAATTTTGGCGGCTTGTTGGTGTGGAGAAAACGAGTGTTTGTTAACAGAATATCAGTGAGGAAAGACCCAGTAACCCAAAAGGGATTTCCACACAGTCCATATCCCAGATTTCACAGGCATCACTTGGGATGCTGAATGTTAAAGGTAATCTGTCATCTGCTGAAGGTTCACCTAACCCTGGTCATAAAGCTGGACAATGAAATACACTGACAGAGGACCCTATGCAATCTCCACAGTCATGAATTTTTACGGCAATGAATCGAAGCAATGTCTAAAATAAGAGGGGCTGAAAAGTTTTTGTCAGTGATGAGAGACTGATAACGTTTTCCAGAAGACATCTGCTTAAAATTGTGGCTCAAAATGCACAACAAGCTACAAGCTATTAAATCATTGGGTACACTTGGTGTTTTGTTATCATCTTTTCATTTTTTTTTTTTTTGTATACTGCTCTGAAATAACATTTATTTTATTTTTTTAGTTGCTCTGCTGTTTTGCCACTTACTGTGTGGGTTTGCTTAAGCGTGCTTCCCTTCCTACCCTCCTCCAAAACATTGATTTATTACTTGAATTGTTGCGTATTTTCATATAGTGAAATGTAACTAATTTTGCAGCCTGGTAAAGACCCGGGCGTGCCTTGTTTTTATTTTAGTTGTAGAAGGTAGACAGTTCTTCCTGTCAGTAATACCCTTATTCTATCACCTTCGGTTCACAGTCTCCACTAGTCTCATTAGTTAAAACTGTCTTATTTTATTTTTTTGACTGTGTTTTCAGTTGTGATTGGTGCCAGAGAGATGGTTGTCACGTCAGCTGAAGAGCTGCTCGGTGCTGTGGAGATGGGAAACGCCCTGCGTCACACTGGTGCAACGGGAATGAATGAGCACTCCAGTCGCTCTCATGTGATCCTCACTCTTCAGGTCCGCATCCGTTCTCACAGCAACAACAACCCATCCTTAAAGACCGTCCGCTCGTCCAAACTCTGCCTGGTGGACCTGGCGGGCTCAGAACGAGCTAGCAAAACTGGAAACACTGGAGCTCAATTCAAAGAGTCTGCACTCATCAACACTGGCCTGCTCGCCCTTGGCAATGTTATTCGCGCCCTCTCCGACCGTGGGCGAAGTCGTCGCGGCAACGGCTGCAGCAGTCCACATGTGCCGTACCGTGATGCCAAGATCACGCGACTCCTCCGGGACTCCCTGGGAGGCAACGCCCACACGGTGATGGTGGCCTGTGTGAGCCCGTCCCACCACTTCCTTGCGGAGACTTTGAATGTTCTTCAGTTCGCATCCAGGGCCCGTCACATCCGCAACTGTCCGGGACGAGCACTCTCTCTGACAGATGTTAAATCAGATCCTAAAACCTGCCAACCTGCCGAGACACGATTGGAGGAGCTGGTGTATGAAGTTCAGACCCTGAGAGAGCTTCTGAAAGAGAAGGAGAAGGACATGAAGGAGATGGAAAGGGAGAAAACAAGGGGTGGAGGTGGAGATGGGGATGGTTTCAAACAGCCCAGTCAGATTACAGCGTCCATACTGGATAAGAGGCTGAACCAAGACACAGCTGCACAGTATCTGTTCTTGGCAAAGGAAGCGGCATCTTTGCTTGCAGATATGTCCAAAGCATTTCCAAGTGTTTTGTTCAGGCAGAGACTGCAAGAATGGCAGGAGAGACTGGCAGCTGTCAGCCAGTCACATCATACAGGCAGTACAGACTGCTCAGAGGGGGCTGGGGACCACCAGCTCCATGTAACCAATTTAAACCTGAGAGAGGAACTCCGCAAGTGTCAGGTAAAAAGACAAAAGGGAATTGGTTTAGTTACATTTAAAGTATGCATGTGCATTATAGTCCACTCCTTAAAGTAATAAGTTTTTTTCTCTCTCCATAGGAAGCCCTCCAAGAAAAAAAGCAACTTCTGGAGGAAAAAGATGAAGAATTGAGACGGATTCGAAGAGAAGTTGAGAAACTGCTTGAAGAGAAAAGAAACCGAGTTTTAGCTACAGAGGAAGAGAAGGAGCGTTCTCGAATACAGGTGAGAAGAATGAGCAGGGAGTTAAATGGCCTGCTTTCAATGCCTTCTGGTATTTCAAGGATTTTTTTTTATTGTCAAAAAAATCCTTTTGACAATAAAAAATTTTCTTCCACATGCATATTTTTGTATTGATTTTCAGACCGAACAACTGGTGAGTCAGCAGGTTCTGATTGATCGCCTTCGCAGCAGCCTCGTGGCTGCTCGTGGGATGACTCCAGGGGCAACCGAAGAAGCAAGGCCTTCTGGGAACTCATGCACAAGACCCCAGAGTGTTCCTCTAATCACACACAGCTTGCTGCACAGGCCATCCAGAAAGGTATGGCATTTAATCCTAAATGGATATGGGTGTGTGTTTTATCTGTTGCATGCGCCATGTCTGTATATGTTTTTGTTTGATTTGCTGTGTTTGTAGATTCACTCCAGTCCACCCACCTGTTCGCTGGAGAGGGTGATGACAGCTTTTAGGATGCGTGGTCATCTCCTTCTGGCTGAGATCGAGGAAAAAGATAAGGTCTACTGTCCATTCATTACACAACAGGTCGAAAGCAAGGAAAGAACTCAAAATAATCATGAGGAGGAGACAAAAGAGGAGGAGGCAGAAACGGAAAGATCTTTGTGCAGGACAGAATTTAGGTGAGAACCTTTACTATACAGCTTTTTATGCAGTTTACCGTAAAAAAGATCTATAAACATTTATAGTTACAGGTACTATGCCTAGAAGTGAGGATGT